CTCGAAATTTCAATTATCTTTATAAATAATTAAATTGTTCTCTACAATTGAATTATTTTCAAAAATTTTAATAAAATTGAATTAATCAAATTTCCAATTATAATTATGAAGAGACAAGATTTTTTTTTTGAAAAATTGAAAAAATTCTTTGTTTAACCTTTAAACTGATACGTGCTGAAAAATCACGCTCAGTGCTAACCCCGGTCTGTCAGACCGCCATTCTATCCCTTTTTTACGATTTTTTAGTAATTTATAATTAATAATTTTTTAAAGACAACTATTGTAAATATTTTTTACTTTTTAACATAAAAAAGTCATTTTTATATTATTTTGATTCAATTTTTTTTATTTTTACATATGTTACAATACAAAATTTAACGATTTTGAAAAAAAAAATTTTTTTGAAAAAGTTGTCAACTAACAGATTTTTATAAAATATGAACCCCAGTAGCACGTAATATTACAGCGATATTGGGAACATTGCCTTAACATTACCAATATTGCCTCAATGTTGTGGCATATTGCTGGAATGTTCCCAATATTACGTGCTACTTGGGAAGCTACTAAAAAACTCAAGTTGTTATTATACTTTAAAAAAAATTATAAGGAAAGAAAATTTTTATAGCGGTCTGTCAGACCGGCATATCAGTTTAAAGGTTAATTCAATTATTTTTCAAATTTTTAATTAAAATTATTTTAAAAAAAACATTATTTGCAAAAAATTTAAAGAAACTCGTCAAAACAATTTAACTATTCATAAAAAATCTAATACAAATTTTTGAAACCAATTGTAGATAAATAAATTTAAATTTGATGAGAAAATAAAACCGGGAAAAATTAGGACAAAGCCGGGAAAAACAGGGAATTTAAAGGTTATCATTTGCAAGAAAATCTAAACACAATTTATAATTAGTCACTATTGATAGAGTAAATGCCGGTAAAATTATTTCCTAATATCTTATTGACTGTCGTTTTTCATTAACGATTTTAGATTTTAACACTGTTTTTAAATGGAAATGTGAAAACTAAAAATCTAAATTTGACTATTTGTTCAGAAAAGTAGCTTTTAGTATAGCATTAGGCTCAAAAAAGTAGCAAATAGTAGCTTTTAATAGAAGAGTGTGAAGCCTGGAATTATTTTCAAAAATTTTTTGAATTTAACTTAGAATATTAATTGTTAAGTTGAGTTGCACAGAGAAAAGGTTAGTTTGATAGCTATAAAAATTTAATAAAAAAGCATGGAAATAATTTAGATAATACAAATTTTTTGATTGATATTTGTTAAAAATGAGCTAATTTAATTGTATAAATAGATTATTATATAAACATACCCAAAATAATAAATAAAAATTAATTTTAAAACTTACCTATGAAATGTCAAAAGTCACCACATTTCAATTACATTTGTCTAAAAAGTTTGTAAATATTAAAACATTTATTACTACTTAATATTAAGTACTTTCAATGTACTTCCATATTTTGTGTTGACTTTTTAGTTTTATAATATAGAAATAAGAAAAATTTTACCTTTAATATTGAGTCTTTCATTTTGATGATTTTAATCATCTCCTCAGGCGCAAAACAGAAAAATCCGAATTTGATCATAATGTTTAAGTTTGTCTTTCTTATCCATTCCATTAAATTCTGGTGATGGAGAGCGAGCTACTATTTAGTTTTATGTTTGTTTAAAAAACATGCTTAAAAACACGAGTTTGTTGGTTAAAATGCAAGTATAGATTTTTGCAAGACTATTGAGATGGACAACTTCAGTGTTATATAAAACTACTTGCATTTTAACCAACGAATTCGATTTTGGAAGCAGATTTTTTTAAATATGAATAAAACTACAAAGCAGTTCGTTCTCCATCGCTAAAATTTGTAAGAGAAGGTCAAACTTAAATGTTAAGACCAAAATTATAATTTTCCGTTTTGGACCTGAAAAGATATATATAAATGATTAAAATCACCGAAAATCATGAAAGACTCAACATTAAAGGTAAAATTTTCCATATTTTTATATTATAAAACTAAAAAGTCAGCACATATAATATGAAAGTACATAATATTAAGTATATATGTATACATTTTTTAATATTTACAAATTTTTAGAAAAATGTAATTAAAATTAAATGTGGTGACATTTGACATTTCATAGGTAAGTTTCAAAATTTGTTCAATTTTTATGTATTATTTTGGGTATGTTTACAAAATAATCTATTAATACAAGTAAATTAGCTCATTTCGAACATAAATATTAATCAAAAAATTTGTATTATCTAAATTACTTCCATTCTTTTTCATTAAATTTTCACAGCTTTTGTTCCGAAATTTTTGCCTGTGTCAAAATGTTTGTTATATCGCATCTATAGAATTTTTTAAAAATGATTCGATTTTAATGTGATGTCACAGTTCAGATTTCTAAATATGCTTATTTATTTTAAAAAAGTCAAAATTTTCTTTTAAACAAATAAGCATTAAAGGAAATAAACATTTAAATGAAGTTCTTCTCAAATTTTTAAAGGTAAAAAATTTATCATGATGTGGATTGTAGCAGCAGCACACGACAAGAAACGTCACGTCACAAAGAAGAGCCTGGAAACTCACACCACATGCGCTAACCAAATTGTTGCTATTCGATTATTTAGGCAAAATTATTTTGTTATTTCTCTATTGTTCATCTTCAATGGTAAAAAATCAAAAGAAGGTTTTATTGATTATTATTTTGGATCAATGAAGACTTAAACATTAGTGGTTTTTATTAACAAGATTTTATACACGATCCTGTACAAGATCTTGTTCAAGAATTTCCACTAGATCTTATACAAGTTCAGATATACAGGAAAAAGTACACAGAATTGAAACAAGTTATTGTATCTAAACATGTACAAAAAATAAACTGGTACAAGAAAATGGACTTGACCTTGTACAATTTCGTATGTAAAATCTTTTTCATTGGAAAATTTTAAAGTTTTAATAACTTGTAATTTATAAGACTCTTTACTATTGTGATAGTTAGAAACTACTGCGTAGCTGTAAAGGTTTAAGAAAACTACTGCGCAGCCTATAAAGTTTTTATTTTTGGCTACACATAGGCATAAGTGAACTTGTAAGAGAACATGTACAAGAAATTGTTATAATTTTGGATACAAACAATTTTTAAAAATTTGAAAAATGTGTACAAGATTATGTGCAATTTCCTGTATCAGCTTATTTTCTTGTACAAGATCTTGTACAAGTTCAGATAAAAGAACTTGTTTCAATTCTGTGTACATTTTCCTGTATCTAAACTTGTATACGATCTTGTACAAGAATTTTTAGTACGGATACAACATAAAATTTTTCCACTCTAAGGTTTCTTTTGAGTGGAGGCTCCTTGTCGAGCATTACATTTGATTACCAATAAATAAATTTCAAACTTTAGAAATAACTTTCTTAATAGTCAAGAAGAAACTTTTTCGAGAAAAGTTTTTACCATGATGGATGATGGCCGCAACTTTATAAAAAGTTTACGTCAAGTTTTCACAGAAAACTTCAAAAGTTTGCGGCAACAACTTTATATATATGATTTTAAAACCTTATTATATAGACTTTTTTTAATGACAACGCTACTAGATTCACCACATTATTGTGTAGACATGTAGATCTAATTAAGTCAGCCTGCTTTTTTACATATATTATTTATTAAAATGAATATATGTAGATATTTATAATATATTGAATATTAATAATTTCGTAATTTTTAATTAATAGTTTTTTTATTTAGTTAGTAAATATTGTAATAGAACTGAATCAAAAATTTCTTCAACCCTTGTTTACCACACCTTTATGGAATAGTGTATAGTTCTTGCCACACTGATGTCTATTGGATTCTAGTTTCAAAAATTATTGATTACTTTTACTTGACAATTTTTAAAATATTTAAAAGGATCATGTAGGAAATGTATGTGGAAAAATATAAAAGTGTAATAAAAAAATGCAAAACTTAATTAATAAAAAAGTGAAAAAATTATTTCTACCGAAAACAAAAAGATTGTGAATATTCTTATATTCACAATCTTTTTGGTTTTTTAGTAGGTATAAAAAGTTGATATTTTATTTGAGTCTTCCTCTTATATATTGCTAATCATCGACAAGTTTTTAATATTAAAAATTTAAATTTTACAATTAAGAACTTTATAATTACTGGTTTTGAGAGTGACACAAAATTATTATAATACAAATTTAATTTGAAGAAGAAATAAAGAAATTTTGTCTACTTGAATGTTCACAACTTTAGGTTCATTATTGTTGCAAGAAAAATATTGTTGTAAAGGATAAATTTAAGTAAAAAAAATCGTATACCTATAAATGATAAAATATAAATTAATAATGATAAACTGTGTAGTAATAGGTTAACACGATGAAGAATAATAATTTTACAAAATAATAAATTACTCCCACTGTCCCACTATTTAGTTATTAGAGAATTACTAATAATTATCACTAATTGAAGTCAGTAAAAATATTTAAATACTAAATAAAATAATATTTTCCTGAATGTTTACTACTTTGAATTAATCAATTACTTTTTACTAATTCAGATTTAGAGAAATTTTAAACAAAATCCTCTAAAATTGATTCTTTAGTAATCCACTAGAGAAATTGGTTTTAAAAGAGTAAAGCTAGAGCATAAGTTTTTAAGTGAAACTAATCGCAAAGGTTAAAGTTCCCTTCTAAACTACTTCCAATAGTGTATTTTTAAAAATATAGCGTGTTGCCTCCATTGTGGTGAATGAAAGCAATACATAAAAATACTCATAGAATGATTAAAGTTTATCTTGAAGATACATTTGTTATTTCTAATTGAAGAACTATCTGTAAAATGTTATCTTCCCGAGTTGGCTATGTAATTTATTACTTTCTCCATGCTTCAAAGTTAACTTTCGGAGACAAAACCGTGAATAATAAAATTTGAAGCGGTTCAGGTATTAACATCTACAATCATGGTTGATAAGTTGTACCTGGAAAGACGTCCTTGGTATCAGGACTAGCCGGATGAATCCAGCCATTCCTTTGCTGGATAATGCACTGAAACATGATTTCGTTTTAATCCCTCTGAGGAGCACAACAAAGAGAACACATTTAACAAGCGGATGTTGCCAGAGAAACCGGATTTCTGAGGCTTCTGTACTTTGCGAATATGTGAAAATTTTGCGCGCGCGTTACATATCAACAGGCCAGGAAAATGGGTGCATCCGATGATCTGGAGCATTCATCGAGCAGCGACATTTTCAGCTCACTAGAATTGCTCCGATTGCATTATTCAAGTTTCGAATGTAGTGTCTCTAAATTCTTATCTCTACTTTATCATTTTAATCCCTCTCATCGAAATCACTGTCAAGGTCTTCCCGCATTCATAAATTCACTAGTTTCATAAGAAGAGCATTACAGTACACTTGAACTATTAAAATCCGAGTGAGGCTCTGTCAAATCTGCGAATGCAAGAATTTTAAAACTGTTACTTTCGAAATGGAATATAAATTGCTATTTCCGAATTGAGGAAGAAGATAATATAACCACTCTTCTGACAGTTCTAACGACAACTGTTTCTGCTCCTTGCGAAGGGTGGCTGCTCGGTTGCCTGGGATCGAACTAGATGGCTGGCTGGTCGCCAGGCAACCAAATTTTCTATCCCGTTCTCGCAAAGTGCTCTCGCTTTTCTGCCTTCTTTAAGCATCTCCACCCACAGGATTTACTCTCGCGCTCTCTCCTAATGCCAGTGCGTTGTTCTCTCTCTTTCTCTTCCTTACGAGAAACGTAAACGAAAACTACAGTACACAAAGTAAAGCAGAACGCTTCGAACGCACCAAACTGACCGATGACCGTGGCATGCAACACTGTTAGTCCTCTCGTAGAGCGTACTGTACAGAGTAGATTGTGGATAGAGAAGAGGAAATACCGTTCCACTGAGGAAGAAAGAAAAGGGGGAGGAAGCGCAGACAGGAACGTACACACTGGGGGAACTGTTGCTCTCTGATTCCAATTTATGCTTATTCGGCTTATTCAGTCTTTTAATGAACCCTGTGTTGTTCTCTCTATTGTGCCTTGAAAAATTTATGCTTTAAGGAAGTCACGTTTCCACTATTTTCGACGACTTTCCGCTTTTCAATGAATTCGCCAAGTTTGTTATTGGGTGATTGTTATACGAGTCAGGTCACGAACGTGCCGTAACGCAGGATTCTCCTCGATTCGGTACTTAATGGGTCTACCTTCAGAAGTAAGATGAGACCGGGGTTAAATGTCCTGCAATAAATCTTCCTTTGACTTTAATCCCTTGCTCTTTTCTTCACAGGGAGATGTGTACTTTATGAGTTAGTAACTGGCAGCTTGAAAAAATTGAAAACCCTTCCTGTTAGTTGCACACTTGTTCCATTAACACTTGACAAAATTGGTGGACCCTCTCTAATGTAACGAATTGGATAATTTCGTTACTTACACACCAAACCACATGCTCCTGTATATAATCGAAGCTGAACGCAACCCCCGCACTCGTTTCAAATTTGTTTAGTGTTTGAAAGGAAAGTTAAAAATATCGCTTTAACATCTTTATCATGAGAAACCAATAAGGGAATAAGAATAGACGGAACTTTTTCTAATCCAAAAATATGGTTTCTTTACTTTTTCATTTTCTATTTTAAATAAAATGATTATATATTTTAAAGGAAAATTTATTTATTTTTAGAAAACTATTGTCTGAAAGTGTTTACTTTATTACTTATATTTTTCTCTGTTTTTGCATTTTATTTTCCGTTTTTTAAAGTTAGAAAGTAAATGTTCGTGTTATTTGCGGCACAATTTTATATAAACATATTTATCCAATAATAATAACCCCTGCTGAAAGTAGAAGAATTAAAATATTATCCATATTGGCAATTCCACGTGAGATTTTAGTCGACCTCTTAAAATCAGCCAAAATTTTTTTTTTCTATTCTGTATCGAAAAAAACAGATACGTATTTTTTTATTTTTGTTTAATTGTCCAAATTTTCGATTTGTGAATTTTCGAAATTTTGGACTTGTAATTGTAGACCTATATTCAGTAACTTATAAGTCCGAAAATATTGAGTTCAGGAAAAAGTTGTCAAAAAATGAAAGTTTTAGTTTTTTAAAAAAAATTTTTTTATAAACCAATTAATTTTTTTTTAACTTTGGGCCGGATTTTTTATGATTTTTTAAAAATTTATTTATACCTTATAATATAGAGAAGTTATTCCAAAAAGTCCCAAAATGGGCCTGATGTTAAATGAGTGTTAAATGAGTTTTAAAACATTTTCAAAAATCACTTGCAAGCATCACAGTGGGATTTTTTTACAATTAACTTTTTAAAACTGTCTACAGCGTAGACCCTTTAATTTAAAACAAAGAACACTCAAATAGATTAAAAATTATACGCTGTAGACAGTTTTAAAAAGTTAATTGTAAAAAAATCCCACTGTGATGCTTGCAAGTGATTTTTGAAAATGTTTTAAAACTCATTTAACACTCATTTAACATCAGGCCCATTTTGGGACTTTTTAGAAAATCTTCTCTATATTATAAGGTATAAATAAATTTTAAAAAAATCAAAAAAATCCGGCCCAAAGTTAAAACAAATTAATTGGTTTATAAAAAAAAAAATTTTTTTTAAATTTTTTTGATTACATTTCTTAAAAGTCGAAAAAAACTAAAACTTTCATTCTTTGACAACTTTTTCCTATAAACTCAATATTTTCGGAATTATAAGCTACTGAAAATAGGTCAACAATTACATAAGTCCAAAATTTCGAAAATTTGGACAATTAAACAAAAATAAAAAAAATACGTATCTGTTTTTTTCGATACAGAATAAAAAAAAATGTTTGGCCGATTTTAAGAGGTCGACTAAAATCTCACGTGGAATTGCCCATATATGCATCTGAGTTTAGTTACTAACAATAAAGTGACAATTATTCATCTCCATAAATTTGCTAATTTTCATTTATCCATCCATTTGAATGCATTTTTACCAGTCAATATTTTAATGGAATTCAATTCTTTATTAGGCAAAAATGATGAAAAATTATTATGTATATATGTGATTAAATTGTACACTGATAAACTGCATACGAAAAAAGTGCACACGATTAAAATTCATAAAATTTTCATAAAAATAATTTTAACTGCATACAGTTTTTAATTTCAATTAAGCAAAATTAATCCTAAAAATTAACTTGAGTGCAGTTTTACCGTATACAGTTTAACAGTATGCAATTAATTATCAACATTTTTTTAATTACATTTTTTATAAAATTTGTTCGTGTGGAGTTTTGCCATATGCAGTTCCAGTTTTAATGGTATACTTTTTGAACGTATGCAGTTTTTAATTTAAATGTAACAAATTTATTTTAAAAAACATCTTGTATACACCCAGTAAGAAGAGAGGAATTAAAAAGAATTAGAAATTTTTAATTCTTTTGAATTCCGTTTCTAAACAATTCTTTTCGTTTCCATTAGGAGAAGTCGAAAAGAATCTAAGTTTGATTATTTTAAATACCGTTTTAATATTTCACGCGGAAAAAAAACTTTGTTGGTCCGAAGATTTGAACCCTCAACTTTCATTGTCGGAGACAAACAGCCTGTCCGCTCAGCTATTTAAACTGTACCTATAAATACTAAACTTTTAGAAATACTTATTTCAAAGTGTTGCAAATTTTAACGGAATTAAAAAATTACAAGAAGGTTAAAACGGAAAAGACAGGAATTGCACTTACCACATTGTATTTCGGAATTTAAAAAAAAATCGAAAATTAAAGAAATATTATAAAGGAATTGATTGGAATTCACTTTCAACAAATCTTTGCCTAAAAAAAGAATACATCGACGCCCCCCGTCAATATAGTTTTTATTCGAACGCCATCAGTGCAATAAAGTGTTAATTCAGAAAATTGTGCTATATGGTGTCTATTCATTATTTTGTTTGTGTAATATAATCTCAATTCACATTGAGTTCATTAAAGGGTAAATTTAATTTTTAATTCAAAATTACAAATCTGCAATATTTTTCATTTTTCGATAATATTTTGTAAAAAAAATTACAATTAATTGATAAAATTATATTGCACAATTGTTTGAATATAAGCATCATATGGACTTTTAAAAATTAAATTAACCCTTTTTTGAAAGCAACGTAAATTAAGACTATGTTGGACAAACAATTAAATAGACACCATATATATAGCACAATATATATGGTATCTATTTACATTTTCTTTGGCAATGTTGTAGCCGTGGACAATCGAGCATATCGAATTTTTCGCTAAATTTTGTTTGTTAAAAATTATAACTGAAAAACAGAACATATCTCAACGTGCGTACCTCTCCCCGAATTAAAATGTGATGATTTTTGACATTTAATAGGTAAGTTTTGAAATCAAATTATATCTATTATTTAGGGTATGTTTACATAATAATTTATTAATACAAGTAAATTAAATAAATATCAATCAAAAAATTTGTATTATCAAAATTATTTTCAAGATTTTTTTATAAAATTTTTACAGCAGTCAAACTAACCCAAACTGACCCCAGTATGAAAGTCTCATTGGTTTTTTAATAGTACGTTTACATTTTCTTAAATTTTAAAACTTTAATCTCATCGAAAAAACGAAGAAATTTATTGATTTCAAAATCTCTTTGTGTTTTTTATTTATGTTTAGAGTAGAGTGGGGTAAAATAAGTCATTTGGGCTATTTATATTACATATAACTATTGCATTTGAAAATTACAGTTTTTATTGGAATATTTATGCACCATGTTAAATTTTTTTAATTGACCTAATTTTGAAATTTATTATAACGTTTTGTAAAAGCAGATTTTGGGATTAAAATGCTACTTTATATTATGTGATATTCATTTGTTTTAATAAAAGATGCTTAAATTCTTTTATTTGTCCATTCAAATTTTAATAAAAAAATGAAATTAATTTAAACTGTATACAGTTAAACTGACCTCAGGAAAACTGCACAAAAGCTTATTTTTAATAAATTTAATAGAAAATAAGCTTTTGTGCAGTTTTCCTGAGGTCAGTTTAACTGTATACAGCGAGTTTAAATTAATTTCATTTTTTTATTAAAATTTGCAATTTTTAGTATTGTGCAGTTTTCCTATGGTCAGTTTACCGGTATGCAGTTTAAATTTGTACAGTTTTTAAATTTAATTTAATGATTTTATTTTTTAAATTTGCTTGTATACAGTTTTCCCGTGTGCACTTGAATGTGTGCAGTTTTCCTGTATACAGTTGGATTTTGGGCAATCAATACCGCCCGTCGTGTTTAAGTATAAGGAAATTAACTAAACATAACGAAAATATGTAGTTCAAAGTTTACTGGAATCAAATAAAAAAAGAATAAAGGATTAATACGATTTGTTATGAAATACGGTATCTTTCGTGTTTTCCGAGAAATTATATTCAAATTATATTCAAATATTTTTAAAATAAGATTATTTGTCATATAAATAAAGGAAAATATAAAAAAAACAAAAACGTGGAATTTAGAAAAATGCTTATAACTTTAGTCCTTTATGGGATACAAAAAATTCCCAACATAGATTTTGAAGCTTATAATAGTCATAGCTATTCAGAACCAGTTGGAAATTTGAAAAAATGTAATTCTGATTTTGTAGCGTAAAAGAGACGTTTTCACCCCACTCTACTCTAATAAAAACAACTTTTTCGATTAATTTGTTGATCGTAAGACAATATTTTTTATATTTACCTGTAAACATAAATGCTTTCAACCATAGAAATTATGCATATAGTTTCAAAGAGACTTTAACAAGCTGTGTAGTTGTTTTTAACTAGTAAATGTAAATGTCATAATAATTAAGCGAACTTGT